CCCCCCCCCCCTTCCCCCCTTGGGCCGGCCCCGGGGCCATGGGCGCTGGGCCATGGGCCCGGGAAAGTTAGAAGTCCATGTTCCAGTAATTCTTGTTGTTTTTATTTTATCCAAGTACCCTAGTGAATAGGGGAAAAATAAACACGATGAAAATGGCACCCGCACGGCCGGGGCCATGGGCGCTGGGCCATGGGCCCGGGAAAGTTAGAAGTCCATGTTCCAGTAATTGTCTTGTTGTTTATTTTATCCAAGTACCCTAGTGAATAGGGGAAAAATAAACACGATGAAAAAAAATTCAAACAGTTGAGTCGTCTTTAGTGCCAGCCCTTGTGGTTGAATAAAAAGGATGGTCCAATTTCTATTGAGCTGAGAAATCTTTGAAGTGGGAGTTATTATCTGAGAAATTCCTGCTCGTCGTCCTAACAACGCTGATGAAACGTAAAAGGTTCTTTGTCAGCGATTTGTTCTCCTCTCTGTCAAACTCACCCTGCCCGTTAGCTTTAAACCGTTTCTAAAGAGATAAAATCAAACTTTTAAAGATAACTTTAGGGGCCCAGAGGGTGCAGAAAATACCAAACTATCGAATCCTGTGTATAGACATACATCTGGATGTACGTGGCTGTGGCTGTGTGAAACTCTGTCCGTGTACAGATCTCCATAGATGTCTGTATGACCTTACTGTTCGAAAGTTGAAATGATGTCCATTTTTTTGCATTTCATCCTCTGAACTTTTCCGTCTAATAAATTATTCCTACACATATGCTGCACAGAATGCGATTCTTGGGAGAAGGCAGAGATGTGGGGTTTCATTAACACCAGTATGTGACCAACAAACGTTTTCTTTCCAGTAGAGTGAAAGCAAGAGCGTAGACATAAGAGTAAAGGCTTTGATCATTTTAACAGTCCGAATACCTATTAAGCATGTATATACTGCAATGTATCGAAGTTGTTAACGCATTCAAAGCGATGGCTTCCATATGCTCTCATGTTTTATCGTCCGTAAGTGTAAAGATAGTCAAACTGCATCTCTTTTGTATCTTCATTTTATAAACACCACGGTGTATGCTGAAATGATTCCCCGATCAAGGTTTATTTAGTAGTTTCTCATTGGAGATGATGAAATGCTCTGTTCGTAACACGAATTCCTTGAAGTTGTAACTCATCGGTGTACTTCTGTTTTAGTTGCTACAGAATGATCTGAGCCCAATCCTGCCATTCTAAGCAACCCCATTAATTTAATGGGGCTTTTCCTGAGTAAAGACCGAGTCAAACTGCAGTGGAGTGGGTATTATTATTATTATCATCATCATCATTATTATTGTTATTATTATTATTGTTGTTGTTATTAATGTTATTATTATTAATCCTGGATCTTGCCATATTTATGGGAAGATCTACCACATTCCTTGTGAACTGTACAGAGAAGAAGCCTCTGAAAATGTAGCTCGCAAAAGACATTTGCAACGTTGATATGCTGTATCTCTTTCCAGACTTCTTATATTCCATATTTTCCTTCATCACATGTTTGGTAATGAGGGAATCTTCTGTTGCGTGTTTGAACAGACTATTTATTTTTAATATTTGGATTTTTTTACAATAAATGTTTATAAACGTTTCAATTCTACGGTTATTTTTACAAATGTGTACTTTTAAAATATGTGTTTGTACTGATGATACCGAGCCATTCCTGAAACACTGTGTACTCAACCCTCTCTTTCTGTTGGTTTTTATATTGGTTGAAAAAAATTTCCCCAAACCGGTGTACTATTAATGTGGTGTACAATCAAGTACTAATGCGTGGTTTTTGTTGGTCTCTTTTAATGTTAATCGTTTTAGGTTGGCATTTGCATTAAAAGAACAAAACAAAACACTTCTTTGGCTTCATTTCTGGGATAACATTTTTCAGACCGGAGACTTCAAATGAATTAGTTCTTTAAATAGTGACGGAGGTGCGGAGTGCGAAAACAGAGCCCGGTGGCAACCAAGGGGAGCCCTGTCCCTTTGTTGTCCCCCCCCCGGTTACCTCTGCGGTGGCACCCCGACTCCTGCGCACGCAGTTTGCTGTTCTGGGGTCACTAATACTCTGGATATTGGCGAGAATTTCCAGCCGGGGCCGCCCCCGAAAGGCTGCCGCTCCCCTCCGCCCCCGAGGGGTTATTGTTTTGGCAGGGCGGGTGAGGGACAAAACTGTTGGATTGAAGAATTTGCCCCCCCAAATGAGTCCCCGTCCCAGTGGCACTTTTTATAAGGTTCCTGGGAGGATTTAGAGCATTTTATTTCTTTTTAAGGGAGGAAATTCATCCGTCAGCTAAAGTAGTCTGAAGGTAAGCCTTCTCCGCCGTGAATATTCCCCTAACCGATTTGAATACGTTGCAGGGTTTCGCAGCTCCCCAACACGCTCAGAGTTTTCTTCGCAGGACTTTTTAAACCTCAGCTTTGCAATTTAGAGGGATGCGGCAGCCTTGGGCACATAGTGGTCCTAACCCCGGCGGGCGCCGTGCGCATGCGCGCTGCCTTGACTCCTTTTAAAAAAGGAAAACTCGAAAGAAGTTGCCTAACACAGAGAGATGACAAAAAGTTGGCTTTGGCTGGTAGGAATATTGTCAATCAAGAATACGTTTGGCTACAGAAAGAGAGAGAGAGAAAGAAAGGAAATATTGAAAGAAAGGAAAGAATTCAAGAAAAAGAACCGAAGGAAAACATTTTTGCTGCTCTGTAAAAGACAAAAAACCGGCCCATAAAGGAAAGGAGGGCTAACAGTACATGCTAATTGAAGAATACAATTCTATGGTCTATAATGATTGAGCGAAGACATGTACTTATTACACTTGACTGTCAACAAGGGAAGGAATGTCCCCTCAGACAACATGGTGAGAGACGTGTGGGCATTATTAGTGGTCCTTTTATAGACATTGCCTTTTCTTTCTCAATGCTGACAAACCATTTTGGAGGGAACCATCCCCTGTTGCTTCCTATCATCGATCCCCATGCAAGCCCCTGCATTGTGCGAGCGCATTAATTAAAGACCATTCATTTAACAAAAGAACATTGTATGTTCAGGAAAGGAAGATTAGAAATATGAATCGGTAACCGAGGCCCGTTTCCGCCGCCTTATCGGGAGAAGCGGAGGGGCAGGAGGTGCAGCGTGCGGTTAAACACACCGCACCTCCCCAGCCCGAGCGGGGGCTCAGCCACCATTTGGGCTCTTTGGGACAAAACCCCTGCAATGGATCACAATTGGGGAAATTAAAAAAAAAAAAAGAAAAAAAGAGACAGAAAAAGGT